TAAGTGCTTCCACTGCTCTTGTCTGCCTGACAGCTTCCCTCCAGACTGAGGGAAAGGTGAGCAAAGCTGAGGTTCAAGCAGATTACATAACTTGCCCAAGGTCACCAAGAAAGTCAGATTATAACAGAGCTATATATACTCTAAGCAAATCATAGAATCATGGAATCACTGTGGTTAGAAAAGACCTTAATTATCATCAAGTCCAACCTCACCAAACCACACTACCCTAACAGCCTTCCACTAAATCATGTCCCTGAGCACCGCATCCAAATGGACTTCGAACACATTCAGGAATGGTAACCCTACCCCTAACCACCCTAACCCTGACCCTCAACCACATCCCTGGGGAGTCCATTCCAGTGCTTAACAACTCTTTCTGTAAAGTTTTTCCTGATATTTAATTTAAACCTCCCCTGGCGCAACTTGAATGACACTAAAGACCAAATCTATGCAACTATTCTGCAGCACTACTTTCAAATAATGTATATTTTACCTTCCCCCCTGGTCTTTTCCGCTCTTTGTATACACTCAGGCTTCTCAGACTCTTCTTCAGTCATGTCTGACATTTGACTGCATTAGTTTTCAACTGGTGTTTGGTAAAAACAAAGAAACAATCCCATGTTCTTTACAAATATTTAGGAATATCGGTGCCTCGGGTTCCAGAGAAAGATGTCTGTTTTTAGGAAAACATCTGTATGTGGTGAGCAGTGTAAATAATTCTAAGAAATTACAGAAAATTTCTTGATCATAGTGATTTGAGACTGCAGTTGACAATCTGAATTCACTCTAGTTTATTTTGTAGTGTCTTCCTTTCAAGTATATTTTTTGCCCTTGACTTATTTCCATTCTGCACGTGCTTGCTTAAATGTTTGAAAGTTTAGTCTGTAAGAATGCCCAGCTATTCTCTAGAGGAATAAAATCTGTCTAGCAGACTGAATACAATGATCATTATATTTAGGCTCATAATGAATTCACTTCAGTTGAACCAGTTTTCAGTTTAATTTTGGTGTGCGATGGTTCAGATGACTTGATTGGACAAGGTACATTAGAGACTGGAACTTCTACTCTGAGAGTAGATGCATTAGACAATTCAAAAAGCTAAATATTTGACTAAATTGCCTTAACTCTGTCACTTGCTGTGCTCTTCTGATGAACCTTTTTGTCAGAAGGGAAATACTTCCAGAAACTTGAGTCAGACATAAGTCTAGCTCTTAGTAACAGCAGGGAATGTTTCAAGCTTTTGTCATTTTTTGTAACTGAGAATCTGAATGTGTTTTAAAAGACATATGAAGTTGTATGTGAGAGTCTTTATGCTTCTGAAGATCTTTGCTAAGTAGTCAAATAAGATGTTAGCTTGCTCCTATATTTCTTGCAGAATACACTGTTTATATTCCCCTGTCTGTGTTTTGCATAATTCTATTCATTAGAATAACATTTGTAAACATATATTTTTCATTTTTAGATACATTTCTAGCTCTGAAATAAGACTTCAAAAATGGAAATTCCTGCAATTGATAGTGCAACATAATCCAAAACATTAAAATACCATCCAGCTAAGTCCTCGATATAAATCCTCTGAAGTTTATCAAAGTGCTCTGTATTATTACCCCTTGGTGAATTACGCAATTGATAATTATTTCCATTATTGTAAAGAATGAAAAACAGAGTGTTCTTGTATATTTAAATGGTTCAGAAATTGTATGTGACCTATTAACAGCATTTTGATCGGTCTCCAGTTGCTTGGAGCATTGCTAGATGAATGAACTGCTCAATTGTTGGAGGAATATAGGTGCCGGGAATGTGAATGTGATTTTTGTACAGTGGCATGTAAATCTCATCTTGTTTGATCCCATTTCTCGAATCATTAATTTTTAGCTTTGTTATTAGATATTAGAGAAAATTGTATTTGTAATGTTCATGAAGGATAGAGGTGTTTACTCAATTTTGATATGAAATGGTATTTCCTCGGTGTTTTGATGGTTTAGTGAACTGTGAACCTTAGTGCTGCAAATTAAAGCAAATTGCCACTCCATCAGGCAGATATCTCACGTAAGGATGATTTTTATGTCTATTTAAATAGCAATGAAGCCATTCTCTTTCTGTATCGTGATGTATTTTGTAGAAATTGAATATGTGCCTTACAGACATGCTGTCACACACTTTCAGATATTTTTATTGTAGTAAGTATTGGAATTGTTGAAAACAAAATCTGGTGACAGGGGAATGTGAAGCATTCCATGACAGCAGATCAGTCTATCAGACACTGCAAATTCAATGCAGCTACTAAAATGAAGTTGATAATAATCACTATTAAATTAATTGTATTAATGGTAATAAATACAGATCCAGCCAACCCAGCCCATCTGATCTAAAAAAATGTATTTTACACTGAATTTAGTCTTGTCATATGTCATACTGTAGTGAAAAGCAGCTAGCAGATGTCACATGAAAATGAAAGTTACAAAAAAAAGTCTTCTATTATCCAAGTTTACCTAAGGCTACTTAAAGAACTGAGATTCACACAGCTCTAGCAGGGTCTGAGCAGTATAAAGACTGCTAAAGACTGAGAAATTTTGATCAATAAGGGCTGAAGATCTGCATATTTTGTTTTTATGTCAAAAAAACCCTTCTCTTATTCCATTTTTGTGTGTGTGGTCTTGTGTTCCTTGTCATTTTCATTTCCCCATGAGAATCCTGTTTAAAAATGTATGACTAAAGTTAAGCTATTCTGATGTTAGTTTTGCAGTATTTGAATTTATAAATCACTTTGGGGCAGGTTTTCCAAAGCATTTAGATGATAAAAACTGTATATGCAAAGAGAGTAGGATTTTCAACAAGAGATAAAGCGTATAGGCTCCCATTTAAATTAATTAACTCAACTGAACAATTTCCCCGTGGCAATTTTGAAAATTCCACTGCTACGTGTTTCTGTCTACGTAAAAAAAATCTGGTTTTCGAAGGAGGCTAAGCATTCAGAAATTCCTTTTGAATTTGATTACAATTATAGGTATTCAGCAGTTCTGAAAATTACACAGTGTGCATGACTGTATGCTCCAAAATGTCTCTGATGATCCTCCTCTTTCTTGTATATCAGTTCCTACTATCATATATTATCTAAATTTAATCTCAGAGAAGATGTGGGTTCACTAGTGCTGTAACCTGTGGATAGAAAAATAATGACACAGGTGAATATTCTGCACAGATTCAAGAACTCAGGAAGCTGATACATACATTTGATAACTGGAAAAACGAATAGAGCTTTAAGAGCTTTGTTGTAATAAAGTCTTTGAATGTTTTTCTTTATTAAATTCATATGGAAAAAAAAAAAAAAAAATAGACCAAGAATACAGACAGGGAGTGCTGCATGTTATGGATATCTGGAAATTACTGGAATAACCAGAAGTAGCATGGCTTTTCAGTGAACTGGATTGCTTCTGGCTGAAATGAACAGAAGATACTCCCCAGAAGGACATCTCAGTCTTCTTTAATCATTACTCAGTTTCATCATTAATCAGTCCCAAAAATGTCCTTAAATGGACTCAGGGGTCTCACTGAGTTGCCCATGTGAGCATGTTCCTCTTCATTACCATGCAGTCAATTGTTTGCCCTTTTGCGTGTCAAATGGCAGTCAAGTCCTGCGCTGTGCAGAAGAAGGTGCAAAGGAGACAAAGAGCCAGTCTGCATGCTTCTCTTGTATTCAGCATGTGTAGTTCAGTGACATGGTACTCAAAGGAAGGAAAAGAAGGCTGGACATGCTACATTGTGGTTTTCTCTCAAATCTGTTGAAAAATGACTGCAAAAATAAACCTTTAAGGCCAAAATTATCCCTCTTGGAAAGCTGTCCCCATTCTGTCCTCCTCCAGAAGGAGCTGTAAACACTCCTGACACGTGAAGTGTTCTTACTGCTGTTTCACTTATAAATGAAACCTCTAAATTGAATGAAAGTGCTAAGTACTTAGTAGACAAGAAGAAAGTGAGTCCTTCATGTTTGAGTGCTTACTACCTAACAAAGGAATAAAAGATGGAGATGGCAGAGCAAATCTAGTGCCTATAAGAAATTATTTGCAAACCTCTCTGGATCACTCGGTGTGACCTCCTGCAGAACACACTGTTACTAAGGGTGGGCTAAGAGTTGCTGGGACTAACTTGAGTGATAATTTTAAGCCAGAGTGGGGAAAAAAATTATGTGGGGATTATGCACGAAAATTAGACAAGAGCATGAAAAAAAAAGCACATTTATTTTGTTAATGCTCTGCTGTGAGAAATCTGGGACTTCCAAAGAAAAACTGCTCTGTGTGCATCTGCTTTATACTACAAAAAGAATCTTGGAATTTTTAAATCAGGAGAACTAAAGTGTAGTCATGACATCTTTTTCCATTATCATTCAGAAAGCAGCATATACTCATTTTTGTCTTCTAGAAATGAAAACAAAACTCCTTTGTGAATTTTCAAACTCAAAAAGGAAAAAAGTGTGAAATACCAACTTTTGTGGAAGACATGGCATTACATTTCCTATATATTGATGTTTTTTTCTGACACTTTTTGTTCTGACAAAACTGATGCAAGGAGATTGCAGTCTTTTTCTTCATTGTGCCAAGAACTTATTTGAAACTCATGTAACCTTATTTTGTAATTAAATGTTTGAGAGCTAGCGGTACTTATATTTGCATATGATTAACTTTTAAAGCGCTGTGTACAGGGTTTTTTGCTTTTAAAGCAGCCATGAGTCGATAAATATCCTTACAGATGTCAATTTGGTCAGCAGTAAAGAGGTAAATAGAAACTAATGACACTCATCAAGCCAGTGGCATGAATGATTTATTGGACACAATCATTTAACACTTTCATAAAGTCAATACATGGGGAAGAAATAGGTTTCTTATTATGGTAAACTGCATTTGAACTGTCAGCATGTAGTGATTTATGACGAACGTGTGGCCAGGATTAGGATATTATAAATGGGAGTAAATAGAAGGCTCATTAATTTTTTATACCCGCAGGTAGAAGACATGCAGTGGGCTAATAGAGAGCACACTCATCCGGCATCTGTCTGCAGCCTACCCTGTAAAGCTGGGGAAAGAAAGAAAACCGTGAAGGGGGTGCCCTGCTGCTGGCACTGTGAACGCTGCGAAGGGTACCACTACCAGGTGGATGAATTCAATTGTGAACTGTGCCCCATCAATAAGAGACCGAATGCCAACCGTACAGATTGCCAGCTTATCCCCATAATCAAACTGGAGTGGCATTCCCCATGGGCCATTGTGCCCGTCTTCATAGCTATCCTTGGGATAATTGCCACCACCTTTGTCATCGTGACGTTTGTCCGGTACAACGATACTCCGATTGTTAGGGCCTCTGGACGGGAGCTCAGTTATGTGCTCTTGACTGGGATTTTTCTCTGTTATTCCATTACTTTTTTAATGATTGCCACTCCTGATACAGTGATCTGCTCATTTCGGAGGATCTTCCTAGGACTCGGCATGTGTTTCAGCTATGCTGCCTTGCTTACCAAAACAAATAGAATTCACAGAATATTTGAACAGGGTAAGAAATCAGTCACAGCTCCCAAATTTATTAGTCCGGCTTCCCAGCTGGTGATCACTTTCAGTCTCATATCCTTGCAGCTTATTGGAGTCTTCATCTGGTTTGCTATTGATCCACCACACACCATAGTAGATTATGGAGAGCAGAGGACTCTTGAACCAGAAAATGCCAGGGGAGTTCTCAAATGTGACATTTCAGATCTGTCTCTCATTTGTTCCCTTGGATACAGTATTCTCTTGATGGTCACGTGTACTGTTTATGCTATTAAAACAAGAGGGGTTCCAGAGACCTTCAATGAAGCAAAACCCATTGGATTTACTATGTACACAACCTGCATAATTTGGTTAGCTTTTATTCCAATCTTTTTTGGTACGGCCCAGTCGGCAGAGAAGGTAAGTGGTGAATTTACAAATCAAATACTGTAATTTTTTTTTTTTTTGTCTTGCAATACTTGTAAAACTGCAACATTTTCGCTCGAAAGATTTAGTAATTCTCAGTGCTAATTATGAACAGAGTCTCAGGATTCATAGAAAATAAAGTATGTGATTCAAATGGTAGGTTTCCTGCATTTCAACACAACCTACTGAATGTGACTGTGGATAATAATGTTGGTATTTTCTTGCTATATCCTTACTTTAAATGACTGTTTCTGTTGATGCTCAGTTACTGCCCTTCTCTGATGCTCCAGCCTGTTACATGAAGCACTATAAATCTTTATAATCCCCAGATCTGATAGCAACGGCTATGTTTCAGAAGTCCGAGAAGATCAATGTACATTTGTCAAAAATAATAAAGAAGAATGCCTGGACAGAATGAAAACAATTACTATTCCCTCTGATTGACACATATAATTTAAATAAGATAGGATTGAATGAAGCATAGGTGAAATCACTTAAGGCACTTATTATTGTCTCAGAGGGAAAACTTTTTCCTGATGTTTTAATGAGAAGTTCAACATTGCACGCTTGGTTATATGTTATTCCTTTTTCAGTTGGCACAGTTCTTTCCTGGTGTCAGTCATGCTGAGACCATACAAATCATATCATTTAACTCTTCCTCTCTCTGTTCTAATGGGAAGACAGGGATAAATATATATTGTGTGAGTTTTAGTCATCTGATAGTGATGAAGAGAATGAGTTAGGCAGGAAAGAGCAATAATAGCAACATCCTTCAAAACTGCAAATCTGTAAGATTTGGAAAAATCATAAAATAAGAAAATAAAGTCTTTACTCCTTTACACAAATTCTTTTCCATTTTACCAGGTGATTTTTATAATGTTTTTAAATACATGTATTGAATTTAATTAATTCAGTTGGAAAAGTTAGCATGTACCCACTTCTAATTGCTCAAAAGTTTAACATGTTCCTGGTTCAGGTTACACTCTTGCTTGTAGAATAAAGAAATAGATCCATATGTGTTTAAAAAAAGTCTGTTAATTCACATGGATAAACTGTCTGGTGAAAAGTGTGTGGCAGAAAAAAACATTTTCCACACTAAAAATTGAAGTAAGCAGGCTTAGTGAATTGGATAAGTCTTGATTTCCACGGCTATTTGTATTAAATCAGAATAAATGAGTAATAAGATAATGACATATTATAGATACACCACAGATTTAAAAAGGTCTCTTTGATATAAGAAAACAGATTCAGGTGCATTGTATTTAAATTCTGAATTTCTGTGGGTGTGCTCAGTTTTAAGTTAGAAAAAGACTTTGTAGCACATTTTTTTAACAGCTTGGTCTAGTAAGTTTTATGGTAAGTACCTATAACAATACAAATGCATTTCTGAGTATTGAAACACAGAAAATATTACTTGGCTGGAAACTGGGCAGTGAGGTCTGATTTACACCATTGTTTCATCTTAGCTTGTAGTAAAGGATGATTTTGGTTTTGACATCTGTAGATGGGATTGATGAATATCTCTTTTGCATTTGTCATGTGAAACCCAAGACTAAATGCATAAATTATACTAAATCACACAGCTAAATTTCACTTCTTAGTTGTCTTCTTTAAAAATGATTTCTTATTCTTCAGATAACTTTCAGGAAGAAGAAAAGCAAATTAATATGCTAATGCAGTAGTCTTGTAATTCAAATAATTATTTTCACAGTGTTTCTACTTTTGGCTGCAAATAAAAACATATTTAGACACAGAATATTACAGACATAATCATAATAGCTCGTGCCTTCATACAGTTAATGGTTTATTTGAAGAGGAAAAAAGGTAGTAGCTTAGTGCACACGTACATATATTGTCAGAGTATACTCCAACTTGGAAGGGACCTTAAATATCATGAAGTTCCAGACCCCTTGCTATGGGCAGGTTGCCAATGACTGGATCAGCCTGCCTAAGGCCCCATCCAACCTGATCTTGAGTGCCTCCAGGGATGGGGCATCCACAGCTTCTTTGAGCAGCCTATGCCAGTGCCTCACTGTCCAGTGAGTAAAGAATTTCCTTCTAACATCTAATTTAAATTTCTCCTCTTTTGGATCAAAACTGTTTCCCCTTGTCCTGTCACCATCTACCCTTGTAAAAAGTCAGTCTCCCTCCTGTTTTTAAACACCATTTAATTACTGGAAGGCTGCGTTGATGTCTCAGCAGAGCCTTCTCTTCTCCAGGCTGAACAAGCCCAGCTCCCTCAGTCTTTCGTCATAGGAGAGTTGCTCCAGCTCTGGAGCGCTCTGATATCTTTGTGGTGTTTTCTGGACCCGCTCCAAGAGCTCTATGTCTTTCGTGTATTGGGACCCAAGCAATGCCTGGATGGAGGTTTCTCAGTATTATACAGCACCTAGAGAAGCATTTTTAAACCAAACTAATATATTATTGAACGTCTTATTTGAGATTTTTTATATTGTTAATCTTGAAGGCCTTTTCTAATCTAATTGATTCAAAGAATTTATGATCTTTTTCGAAGACTGAAGAAATTAAATAAAAAAGCAGACATTTTTTTTTCATGCTTACACACTTTGCCATTGATTTTAAAATCTATTTTTTAATGGGTTAAATTTGTTTGGAGAGAATGAGCAATAAGTTGAGGAACTTCACAAACTCTTCATAGCAATGGTTCCTTTTTTGAAATGTTGACTGTAATGAAATTTAATGTAGCATTCGTTACAAGCCAGGTGTATTTCAGAATAGCATTTAATTGTGCTTTTGAGTTTAAACTTACTACTTTTGGAATAGGGTAGGCAAAATTTCTCCAGAATGTTTTTCAAGCACTTCTGTTTTCTTAAATATTAGTAGAACTTTAAACAGTAGGAGAAATCATTATGCATATGTGGAAAAAGATTTCATATTAATAAACTATGATATGAACACAGATTAAGTAGAATGCTTTGAGAATCATTTTTATTTCACTGTCAGGATATTTCCACTAATAAATGAAAATAAACAATAACTAAATGGTAAACACGGGTGTCTGGATCCAAAATTCATAAATGATTAGGGAAAGGTTATCTTTATATTTAGTGGTTATTGAATCATTGCTCCCCAAATGTAACATTGCACAAAGACTCTGGGTGGAATGTAAAAGAGTCTAAGCCAGACTATGACTGTTGGTGTCTGTCAGCCAACAGACATGCATGTTGAAGAAGATGTAAATAAACATCATAAGTATTTTTCCTCAGACAGACTGCTTTATCTTCCAACCCAAACCAGTCTATGATTCTATGGTCTTGCTCAGGTTTCAGTTATGGTACATGGGCTGGGGAAAATATCTCTCATTGCTGGTTAGTATATTAAATATCTGAATATGCGTGGTGTGACACATCCATAAGGGAAAACATGCTAAAAAGCTGGTATAACTTGAGAAGACTAAGTAAGAATATTGATTTATAGACTTGACACTGGTAATTTTTTTAGTAGCACTTTCCAACATATACCATTTCTATGCATAAGTTATGTAAATTTACATATGCTTAAAACTAATACAAAATTGAGAAAAAAACTAAATAATAATCAATGAAAGATTAAAAAAAAAATCCAAAATAACCTTCACACCCCAAGTTTGGTGGCTTTTATGGATCTCCTTGTTCATTGTTTGTCCTTGTTCTCAAGTAGAAGAACAAAAAAAAAAGCGTATGTGATTAAGCATGACATTTTAGGTTATTTCTGTGGATGTTCTACAGAGAACTATATGAACTTTTTTTTTTGACTTTATGTCAGCATTGACTTTATGTCCCTTTAAGTCTTGTGTGATTTTTTTCATTCGTTATTTTGTTTGTTCACAATCAGACCATTTTGACAGCTGCTGTTGTTAAGAAAAGAATCCACTATCAACAGTTAAATTATTCCAGTGCATCATTGAACTAAATGAAATAAAAGAGAAAAAAAAAGAGAAAAAAAAAAACCCCTGTCATAAAGCACTATTTTCCTAACACTTGCATAAAAGTTAGTGAGATGTACTACTAAAAGAAACGAAGTTCTGTGAGAAGCATGCTGTCAGTTTAAGCTTCCAACTGCATCTATAAGCAGCAAGACACTTAAGTACTGGGATCATCTGGAACAGAGATGTCTAAAATGTCATGACTGGAATGCTGCAAAAAAAGAGTGAAATCAGCTGAGTGGTTAAAAGAGATGTTTGAACCTCTGGGTAAAATGAAGTTACAGCAGCAGACTTGTCAACGGTTTATGGGCTGGTCCGGCCCAGTTCCGTGACCAGCAGG